TGTGCACAGGCGAGGAAGAACGACAGGATACGAGATCCCCAACTTTGAAAGTTACTGAAGAAAATGGTTATGCGGTACGAGCATATCGTAGAACATCGAATGCCAGCCTTCGACATGTATCACGCCAAGGGAAGCTACCCTTGTGCCTTCCTTTTATTTCCGATGACATCAGCACTAAATACGTTCTGAGAGCACAGTTGCGGGATGATGTTGTCTTGGTGAACATTCCCAACAGCAACATCATACGCCAAACGCCATTAGACTGTACGACAGGCAGTGCATGACACCAGATTGCGTTATTTGCCCATATGGAAGGGTAGGAGATTGTGAAAACTGGGGTAATTTATCAACTTGAATGCAGGGCTTGTAACAGCACGTACATCGGGGAAACAGGAAGGGACTTAGCTACTCGCATCAAGGAACACCTAGCTGGGAAGAGGCGTGATATGATGACAACCCCTCTTGGCAAGCATAAGATTGAGGAGCATAACGGGAATGACTTTGATGTTAAGTGTACTATACTCGGGTACGAGACAGATTCTTCCAGGAAAGCCCTGGAATCGTTTTGGATTTTTGCGAGAAAACCAAGGATGAACGGCCGAAACGAGTGTCCGTCAATTACTAATGAGTTCTTGCCGTTTGTATCAGAGTGCGAGCTACAGTAAGGGCGACGTGCACAATGGCAATTTTGACTTATGTGACACGATGAGACTCTAGTGAGACTCATTCGTCCTTACTTACACTACTGACACATAGCGTGAGCTAGGCTCCGCACGGTGGAACCTCGGTGAGTTGTGCGCAGTTATTACTGGGTTCTTCGGGGGCGTTCGGGACACGACGTCGGAAACGCTAGAGTGGGGAAGGCGCTTGGTCGGGTAGGTGACAAATTGAAAGCTTCGAGCCATTTTCAGGCCTCTGAAGAAGACGAGAAGGTCGAAACGTCGGGCCAATAAAAAGGTTCTATCTAACAACCTTGTTTGGCAGAAATAAGTTAATATTCGACATCATGCCAAGGTTACAAGAAGGGACAACTCAGAGATTATTAGAAGACATACAGTCATTTTCGTTATCCACAGAGTATGTACGTTGCATTCCGACATGTGGCGCGTGAAGAGTCGGACCAGAATTTTTACGAGAACTCACGAAAGATTCTTCGGGCCCGTCAATCCGTGCAAAGAGTTTGTAGACTATAGATAGTGGGCAAGTTTGTAGACTGCAGATAGTAGGCAGATTGGGCGATAGTTGCTGGTTGCCATCTAGGTCTTTTTCCTTGTAACGCAACACAGTCCTTTTAGTATTCCATGAGCTGGGTACATTGCATTCCGTAGTGCGTGATGAGTCGAGCCAGAGTTTTGACGAGGACCGGTTGGAGATTCTTGGGGATCTGCTTCTGTAAGAAGCGGGTGCCGTACTTCATCATTGAAGAGATTGCACGTCGGTTTCCGGATTAGAAAACTAGAGAAAGACATCCATTTCGCTCCGCGGTACAATGACAGGTGCGTGGCTGCCATTGAGAGCAGGGTAGGAGTCGTGTATGACGTTATCCGTTTCGGGATGCAGCGATTGTTCTGTACGGGCGCCGGAGGCCGATCACTTTGATCTTACAGTTGACGAGTCGCGGCGTGCTTTATGGATGCTCTCCACAGTCTCTGCGGCTTTCACCAGAGCTGCTGCTCATCTTTTGGTCTTCCTTTGTCGCTCCTCTGCTTTTGTGCAGCTCCACGATGGCGAATCAGCTTGAGAGTCTAGATCATTCTGGTAACCATAGCAATCTCTGCTTTCATGGCAACATCATAAAGATGTTCAACGAAAGGTCTACATTGCCCCTCACTTGCTGATGGCGGCATTTTCCCAGAGCGCAGCGAGAAAAGTGAAGTGGCCTTAATTGATGACATTTTTGAGGCTTCCCTTCTTGAACTGTGCGGCTGTCTCTTCTCGCATCGAA